ATTTTTCTTTTTTTAAAATTTATCATTCTGATCTGCGACGCACAGCTCATTCATGATCACTAATCAACTTCTTGTTATCATTGATAACAATAATGATAATGTAATGACAAACAAAAACAATTCACAGTTGGACAATCATTAATAAACCAGTGGTTTATAATCGGACGTTGCCTCATTTATAAATAATTCGGGGATTGGACATATTTAGAAATTAAATCGGAAATCGCGGATGATTTTCGCGGGAAAATACATATATAAAATTTCATTGATGAAAATCATAACTTATCTGGCAAATTCGCTTCTAGAAAGTTATCAGGAAGCATGGCTACAAGATTTTTTGTAACAAAGTTTCATTTACATCTACCACCAAATATTTCTTATCATGAAACACCTACCATTCTTGGTAATGTGCCCGAACTTGGCACTCGGAAAGACCCAATCATCAAGCTTCATCAAGAATCCACAACATACTGGGTGTCAGAAGAAATTAAATTTCCTGTCAGTTATGTTGAAGACAACATTCAAATCAGATACAAATATGCATTAATTGGCAAATCATTTTTATCAAGAAGAAGTGTTGAATTTGAGGGTTTGGATGAAACAGATGATCAAATTCTAGAAAATTTTACTGAAAACCAATTTGATGTTTGGAATACTAGCAATTCACATAAATTTTATGAGGGATTTAGAGATTTTAGTTTCATTAAAGTTATACATGGATCTGTAACACAAGAAAATTTTAAAAACCAAGTAATGGAATATCAAAAACTACTAAAAAAATATCATGAATTGACTGTCACTTTTACTACGATTGACTTTATTAAGGAGTGTATGCCAATTAGTAAAGAAAAAGAAAAGAAACTTTTCTTGTGTGTTTTGCTTGGTTATTTTATTAATGAGCAAAAAAACACTTCAAAATTCAATTTTTATGAGTTGCCTAATGACTTTGACTCAGGCACATTAATTGATTCTTTGACAACTGTATATGATAATACTTTTCCATCAAACACTAATGATATTATAAAACAAGCAGTTAATCTTTTAATCAGACATAATTTTATCAATGGTTCATTTGAATGGTGGAAAATATTTTCTGTTGCTGATGTTGTTGATCCAAAACATGGCTTTCTTGATGCTCTTGATGTAAAATATAAATCAAGAGATTTGGAATTGTTTCTTAAAAATGTTGAGGAACATGTCAAACCATATATTGATAATATTGAGGATATAGATATTTATGTGAAGATAGCTGAGGTAATTATTATTAAAAAAATTTTTTTTAATGTATAATATATCTTAATAAAAATTCTTATGTTAATTCTGTTTTTATAAATAATTATATATAGCATTTTTTACAATTATGTAATGATATGCCAACTTTATTAACAATGTGGGATAATATAATTATTCACAAAACAGACAGACTTCAACAAATATTCTTTGACAGTACCAAAAATAATCTTCCTCAGGACAACCCATATCATTTGTATCAACAAATCGTAGCTCTTCCTGAAGAAATGCAAATTAAACATTTTGGAATATTTTCTCAAAGATGTTTAAGCATGTTGAAAAATTCAAGAAAACAATGGGGAATTGAGCAGATTAAATCTCTAGTGCTCCTTTTGAAACAATTTAAATGGGACAGAGAAGAATTTCTTGATGCACTTGATAACATCTCTAAATCAACAGATTTGTCTTGCAAATTTGGAATCAATGGTTTGAACAAATTTTAGATATTACTCATCAAAATAAAGCCATGTATTCTGATGAAGATAAATTTATTACAATTGTATTTAGTATCTTATCTGATATTTATCCTACAATTGGTGTTAGGATTGATATTTTTAATTCATTGGTAGATTATGCAGTCAAAAAAGTAAGTCAATCATCAGAAAATGCTATTTATAAAGCAACATGTTCAATTGCTGAATTTCCAGAACAAATTTATACAAGATATTTTCATGTGGTGAAAAAAAACTTTAGAAAAATTGTCAATAAGTCCCAACCAACAATTAATTCAACAAGTTCAAGAAATTTGTGGATGTAAAAAAGGTGATAAAAAACCTCAACATTCCAAATCAATTATGTGAACTTATAATGATCTTTATAATGAAAAAATTACAAGGTCAAAATACTTTAAATAGTGACTCTGAATATTATGACAATTTATTTCAAGCTAAAGAATTTTGGATAATGATATTTAATGCAACTGGGTCAATTGAACATCTACATTCACATAACTAGTTTTACATTATAAACAATCAATTAATGATTTAGCAGAATTAATTTCAGATGGAAATATTAATTTCACATTATTGAAAAAATTAATTGTCAATAATGATGAAAATTTTATTCGATTTTTCAATTCTGCAGTTTCTGATAAAAAGTTTGGTTCAGTAATTATGACAAAAACCATACTATGGTTGGCTCGGTCTAAAGACCTCCTATTGCTGCGCCACGCGCTCAAATTTCAAAAATTGCAATTTTGTGAT